TTGTGAGAAATGAAGATCAACACAAGCAGTGTTCTGTGCAATACAATATCTACAGTTGAAATGTGAGACCTGCATGTAAAAGAATATCCTGTTACTCGAGTGTTGTAACCGGTTGAGTTTTCATCTCTTTTGTACAACACATGGATATGAAGCAAAAATGTGAGAACTTCATTTACGTTTAGCTGCAAATACGAAATTTAATGAACATGTCATCTGGAATTTGAGTTGTGAATATATATTTGTATTGATAATCCAAAACTGAGAACAATCAAACAAAACTGTTGCCAACAGAAGCAACTACATCCATAGGAAAAATAGAAAAAGTAAATCTAAGGTATATGTTGAAATTGAATGGATTTGCTATAGCCAGATCTTTGAAGTGTGCATCGGTTGTTCCTAAGCTGCATATTTTTGTGTCACTTCTCAACGTTAACGTTCACTATTGCAGGAAACAATCATCCTGCTACTTTCTAGCAGCCTCACTTTGTTGAGCAGATCTTGTGTGATAACAGAAGCATCCTTTAATTTGCTCCTTAAACTCTGTTCTTCCTTAGCTGCCCTTGCTCTTTCTTCTATAAGCATGCGAGCCAGAGTCTCAGTCCTTGCTCTCTCTAGCTGCCTTATACTCTGTTCTTCCTTAGCCGCTCGTGCTTTTTCTTCTAAAAGCATGCGAGCTAGACTCTCACTCCTGGCTCTTTCCTGCTGTAAACGATGCAAAACCTGTTGTAAACTATTCTTAGTACTACTACTCTCTACTCTCAAGTCATCGGGCATAGTATCTTCCATCTTCACAACTGAATTTCCCAGAGTTTGCCTATTTGATGTTGACGCTTGCTGAGTTTGATCTCCAACCATAGTTTGATTTCTTTCTTGTACTGAAGAATGAACTGGTACCGTGTTCTCGTGTTCAGTGGATTTTGATTTAGATGTATCATAATGACATGTTGTGTAGCCGGAGTTGGAGATAAATGGGTAACCTGATTTTCTTTCAGGTACAGAAGCGTTTTCTTGCGTTTCATCAGGTTGCCTATTTAGTCTACACACTTGCTGAGTTTGATCTCCAGACATAGTTTGATTTCTTTCTTGTACTGAAGAATGAACTGGTACCGTTTTCTCGTGTTCTCCTACAGTGGGTTTTGATTTAGATGTATCATCATGACACATTCTGCGGCTGACGTTGGAGATAAATGGATTTTGATTTGCTTGTACTGATAACTGAACTGGCTGGGTCACTTTCCTGGACCCTACATACACCTGGGATGTTTCATGCACCGGACTGTCCTTTATTGAAGAATGAACTGGTCCCCTCTCGCGTTCTACTCTGGAAAATTTCAAATTAGATCCATCATCATGACAGGTTGAGTCCCCGGCATTTGGTTGTTCCTGATCTGGAGAGACAGCAGTGTTCTTTACATTGCGGCGCTTAGCATAACCAATGAAATGGCAGTTTGAAGACCAATACTTCTTCTGTATAAATTGTAGGCGTGCCTCGAGTCTGGCAAGGACAATTGTGCGCTCAAACCCCTGTTTATCATGAGCTGGTTCCACAAAATTAGCCTCTAAGACGCCTATCACACCGCGACCATCACTTCCCGCAGCATTCCAGACCCTCCAGAAAGGCTTAATAAGCCTATTCTTGTGATAAACATTGAAACCTTGAATATCAATATGATGTTTTGCATCTTTCACAAAACCAATAGTTCCTGTAGCCACAAACGATTCGTAACCAACGGATTGTGGTCTGTATGTGATCTCCTCAGAAAGCATCATGTCATTTACCAAATTATGATGTTCAACATCTTTCCCCCTCAAAATTATCCGAAATCCAGGAGCAAGCCTCAAATACAAAATCGAAGCATAACTCCTTAAAGAATGCTGATAAGTTAGAAAGTGCCTCGAGTTAGGATATTCTTTCGCCATCTCAATCTTCTTTTCATCTCGACTAACACCCCTGATTTGAATGTCATGTGGATCAGTATCAAAATCAAGCTCCGTGCCTCCTTCTTCGTCCTCCCAAAGATTGTATATGATAATTCGCGTCCCTTGATCACCTTTCAAGAATTCAAACTGCTGGAATAGATCATTGGCACTCTCATAAGGAGACCATTGCACTATAGTCTCCGAATTCCTTTTCCAAACATCAGCTGAAGACCGAACCAACATCTCCCACGTTCCTCCCCTCTTAACAAAATCAATCATAGGAACAACAATATCTTCTTTCCCAGTACTTCTCAAAAACGTGTACGACAACATTCCAACACTCTGTGTCAACATGTTCGTCGCTCTATCTCTCCCCCGCGAAAACACAATCACATCACCCCCTAGCCTCATACTACTCGTCTTGAAACCGTTTCCATATTGACCTATCGTGTTTGCTAACTTACTTTTCGCTGAATACCCAAGAGACATACATTGCCTCATCCTATCAGGTGTCATTCCACCACCATTATCTTCAACTAACAACATCTTACTCCCTTTATCTTTCTTGTTATCCATCACGTCTACGCTAACATACGTAGCACCATTACAAACCTCATCCATTGCATTATCCAAAAGCTCAGCAAAAGCACCCAATGCCCACTTATGACTAGTAGCATTCGAATGCAAGAACTTAGGATGAACTCTTACATGATCCATACCAACTGTTTGATCATATGCCCCAGAGAAAAAAACCCCATTACCCTCCCTTTTACCTTCATAATCTCCAGCTTTCCAGAATTGCTTACAACTAGTAACACTAACAGGGGAAGCTACAACCAATTCATTACTATAATATGGACAAATTGACAAAGGAGCAATAAAAACAGGATTTTCAAGTTTAATTTTTTTCATAGGACTTTCTTGAATATCATCAAAACCATTATTATTTACTGGAACCATATAATGCATAGTTGTGTTTGTAGTGATTTGGGGTTCAGCTAAATCATCTGTTAAATCAATGAGCTCTTGCTTTATAGGCATGGTGATCATATTAACAAGAAGAATCAAGAACTCAAAAAAAAAAAATTGCTAAAGAATGTGAAATAGTATTGATTTTACTAAATTTTATAGAGTTTTTTTTGGGTTCTCCTTAGTGTATAAGTTTTCCTTGTTATAAATGTTTTCTCCATTGTTGAAGGTAATACAAATCCATGAGGAAAAGGAAAAGAGAAGTAATTTTGTTAGAGTTTTTGAATCCAAATAGGAAAAAGAGAGAGATGCACTCTTTTACTATTAGGATTCCATAATTAGTATTTACATATATATATATATATAAACTAAAAATAGAAGGGAGTTTTTTTTTTCTAAAAATAAATTTATAAAATATATTGGGAATATACAGATTTTTTTTTAAAAAATAATTAAAAGACTGCACAAATTAACTAGAGTCCTACTTTTTTAAGAAAAAGGATTACAAGGTGAAATTTTCCAAAAATAAAAATAAAATCTTCTATTGGTAACTTTTTTTTATTTAAAGTAGTACTAATATATATTCCATAAAGGGAGTTGTATATTCCTTTTTTATTTGAATTTCACAAGGCTTTTCTTATATTTATATTATATTATTATATCCTTTTTTTTACCTTTTATAGAACTCAATTTTTTGTAGTAAAAATAATCATATATTTTTACATTTAATAATAATATAATTTAGATCATAAATTTCAAAAAACATTTGGTGTTTAGAATCCAACCGGAATCAATGACCTAAATTGAAAAAAAATTGTTGATTTGCGATTTTGATAATGATTTAATTTTTTCTATATTGAAGCTGAATTTATAGCAAGACCATTAATGAATAAAGATAAGTGTCCAATAATCAAGAAATCGATGATAATTTCGTGATAAACTTAATAAAAGAAACATGTGCTGAATTGAAGAGTTGGATAACCATAAAAAAAATTCTAAAAATTTGATCTAAATAAGAAGTTTCACTTGAAGTAGAATTCTAGGTCAAAAGAGATTGAATTGATAGAGAATTTGTATACGTGCTAAACTGAAAAGTTGAAGTTCGACTAAAACACAAAAGAAAAAATGAGTTTGATTTGAAGAATAAATCTAAAGATGCAAGGAGTTTGAATTTAAGAAAGAGTCTTACTTAAAATAGAACTCTAAGTCAAAAGAAATTGAATCAATGTGAAGTTTGAAATGTAGAATAACTTTGCGATAAATTATGGTTAAATAGAAGTGAAATCATCTAGAATAACTTTGTACTTACAAAGCAAAAAGTGCAATTGAAAAATTGATTTCGCGAGTGCTATTAGTGGATTGAAAGAACACATCAAATGACATGGTCTTATTGCATAGTTTATTCATAAAGTTCTCTTGTGATTGAGTCTTGACGTAATCTTAGTTCAGTGAGTTTAAACTCAATTAAGAGTGTAGTCTTCAAGTATAATAACTCGGAGAGTTCAGAACACATACCTTGAGTGCGTCGTGTTGAAGTTAGGAATTAGAAATCATAATTAGTTCATGAGATTGTAAGAGATGTAATTTCAATTCATAATTTAAAGTTTAAGGATCAAAGTTAGTTCATAAAACTGCAAAAGTTGTAATATGAATCTATAACTATATGTTTAAGAATTACCGTTAATTCCTTAGATTACAAATTTAATAAGCGTTTAATGTATTGAGACTCGTTAATTTAATGAAGTTGGAGTTAAATCATGTTATGGTTTTACACTTTTTAAGCGGTTTATGTAGAATATCACTTACTTTTAATTTCATACTTTTATTTATGATGGTCTTATACTCTAAGTTATCTTTATAAGATTTCGATGATTGCATTTAAGCTAAATACAATCTTGTAATTCATGTCAATAGATGTAATGATTCTACTATACTTAGTATATCAACCCTAGCTAATAAGACAACAAAGTTGCCTTTGTTAGAGAACTCTTTATCTTCAATGTGAAATATTACGACACGAATTCAAATTTAATCGGACCAACAAACTTTAAAATTGGGCCGGCCCACTAATAAGCAGCCCATGGAATACAAATAACTCGTTTCATTTTCTTCACCTTGTTCCAGAAACATCCATGAATTGTTAGCCAAGCAATTGAAGCAAATCGAAGAGCAATGGGTTGGGTGTGGATCAACGACGAGCCTAAGCATTCCGGCGCCGATGATTTTAGCGCCGTCAAGGATTTTGGAAACCCTAGATCATCCTCCGGCAGCGATGGTGACGGCGGTGAACGGTGCGCTACCAGGAAGGTTGTGAGCACTCGGTGCCGAACCGAAGAGACTGAGCCCGGAAAGTTCATCAGAAAGTGCGAAAAGGCTGAGCAAACTTTCAAGGATTGCATTGGGAGGTAAAAATAATTTGTCAATTGTGTTTAGGTACAAAGATCCGAATTTTCTTGATTAGTCTTGCGTTTAACTTTAATTATTTGAAGTAATATTGTTGGGGAGCTATTTTAATCACTTTCGTATGATCTGGTTTCGTTAATATAAACTGATTTGTGTTCTTTTGTATTTTGGATTAAACTAATTGACTGTAATTTAACAATTAATCTATTTTATTCAAATAGATGTATGTCATTTACCATCATACCAACTCATGACTTAATCAGACATAATTCTTTGCTCGGAGACAGTGGCGGAGCTAAATTTTTTGATTAAGGGGTTCGTAATATGTATAATAAACACTCGAAGAAGCTAAAGGGATTCAACATTTACTGTATGTATAAACTGTTATTTTAACTATGTATAAATAGTGTAATTTCCGTCAAAGCAGTTCATCTTTGGCCCTATCAGGCTCCAACCCTGCTTGGAGATATGAACAAGCTCATTGACTTTTGCATTTTAAGGTTACAGCTTTGTATGTGCTTTTAAATTGGTTAAAGATTGCAGCATATTAGTGTTGAACTAATGGTTTTTCCCTCTAATTAAAGAAGGCTAAATCCATGGTTGCAAAGGAACAGTTAGCTTTTATAAAGTGCAAGTATGACGGAATCTGAGATGAACTGAGAACTAGAATTCAGTTTTCATTGAAAGAATCTCGTGCGTCTTTATTCTGGGACATTATTAGGGAATCTTAAGTATGTATCTTTTCTTGTTTTATTTGCACCATTATGAGTTGGTAGTTGGTGGTACCTTCTAGTTTGCATTTGCGTTGGAAGTACAAATATTTATCCAGGATAATTACCCATAAGCACGTTGTCTTCCTCCATGGCCTTTTACCTCTCTCTATGTAGTCAATCGAAAGAGCACACAGAGAATGAGGTGTTATTTTTGTTGATTCTTTTGTTGGACTGGAGAATCCATCCCTATGTGAGCAAAAAAATAGGATAGAGGATTTCTGGACTGATTAGGAAAGGCTTTCTGAAACGTAAGACATTTCTACTTGATTACGTCTGCTACATAACACACAGTTAAGGGTATAAATAAAAGTTAGAATGTGATTCTGTTGTGGTGAATATCCATTAGACGCATTTCATCGCTTCCTTGCCACTATTAGAAATCCTAAGCTATTCTTATATAATGTTTTGATCCTTCCAACAAAGTCAACAGTCTATTCTATTTTATGAGTTAAGGGGAAACTTAAATTGACGGGGGTAGGCCAATTAGTTAATCCTCTGTTCACGTATCCCTGAAGTATAACTGCTGGTTTATCTAAGAAGGGACTTATCTGTTTGGTCATGACATTTTTTTTGATTCCAAATTGCAGTTAGCGAGTGAAAGATACTGCGTGGGGGAGAATAGGATAGTTCATTATTATGAAGCAGGTACTGCTTAGTTTATTCAGACATATAAAGACCACATAGTTACAGACACAATAAAATTACAATGGAAGGACATATAAATGAGTATTTGCTGTTTTAAGCAATTCTGACCTGATATCTAAAGAACACTGTTTAGTTTATAAGAAGATGCCAGGCTGTTACTTTGTCTTATAGTAACGTTCTGTCATGGAACGCACATCACTGAATAGCTTCTTGTTGATCAAAGTCAAACTTGTGATGCCATGAGCAAGGTCATTTCGTCTTTGGTTATCTATTTTTTGGGGGTGGGTGGAGGTTGTGGTCTGATGCTAAATATGAAACTACTGTGCATTTAGTAGCGGTGATTGTTCGAGTTGTTGCTAACTTGTTGCTTTTCGTCAGGCCTTCTGAGATAGTGGAGTCTAATAAAGAATACTCAGAGGAAGATGTCACGGACCAAATGACAAATGATTCACATTCTATAGAGTCGTCAAGTGTGCCTTTTGACTTCCCTGGGCTGCGTAGTGATATTGAGAATATTGAACGAAGCTTCTTCAGTGAACTTGATCGTTTCTTTGAAGCAGCCGAGGAGATAAAGAATGGCTTCTTTGGTGCATTCAGTATTCCTCGCGTCTTTGATGATGACCGATCACCCCCACCTGAGAGACGCGGTATACCCATCGAATCTCATCCTCCTAAACCAAACAACACCGATGGAGACGTCAATATTTCTGGCCTGGATAATGATATTTGAAGCAATCAAGTAGGAGATCCTCTTAAGGCATATCACTCATTTTACGTTCTCAACCTCTTGTATAAGAACTAGTTCATATACATCTTTTTTTAAATCTAATTATCCTATCATCAAATACTAATTTACTCTATAGTTACCTATTGTATTACCAATACAGTAATTTCGTACTAGAGTTTCGGCCAGGTACACCACTCTTTTGAAATACGTCTTTCAGATTTCAAGTCAAATACGTGGGGAGAGAGACAAGCAAGATAGGAGAGAGAAGACGTAATGAAGTTTTAAACTTATGTCCGAATTTGATAATAGTATTAATTTAATTTGGGGATGTTTTTTTATAATTATAAAGAAATTGAGGGGTAATTATTGTAACAATATTGTTCCGATGAGTACTTGTTAATTATTTTTTTTTCCGCCAAACATTGTAACTGAAAAACCTGTCACTTTTCGCCGTTTCTTCCTCTGTCCCTGGCCTTCCGCTTTCTTTCTCTCCTAAAAAAATTTGAAGAAAAATTTCAATTCCCCAAAAACCCTAATCCCAAAAAAGCTTCATCTCCAAAGATTAATGAAATTTAACCACAAAATTAACCCAAATAATCTCTTCTGTTTTCACATATAATTATTATTATTAATTAACATTCTTCTTCGTTGGCGCTTTTGTTCCTCCATTATTTTTTTTTCTTGTTAATTCTCATTTGGGTATGAGAATTTGGTATTACATTCCAAAATATATTCACTTTCACGTATTCGTTATTCTTAATTTTACGGGGAAACCTTTCCGAAGTTGAGGGGGCTTGAAACATTGAATTTTGTCCTTGTAAGATTTTTCTCTTCTTTTTTTTTAGGTTAATTACGTGTTTTGAATCATGGGTTTTTGTTTAATTAGCATATATGAGCTAGTTTGGGATTTAGGCGTAATTGTTGTTCGATGATTTTTTGCTTCTGTTATAAAGAGGAAGTTTTTTCTAGCTGATTAGAAACTTTTTAGAGGTATTAGTTGGAAATTTTTTGCAACTTGACCAGAGGGTCTGTAGAAATAACCTGTCTACCTCCACGGTTATGAGGTAGGGGTAAAGTCTGCGTACACTCTACCTTCCATAGGTTGAGGTCTTTGTGGGACTATACTGCATATGTTGTTGTTGTTATGAGTTGGAAATTTACTAGGTATGAGTTATTGTGTCTACATTATTTAGAAGAATGATGATTTTGAATTACAGGTGTTATCTGCAGCTGGTTTTGGAATTAGAGCTGTTATCTGGAGCGGAATGGTTTACGTTTACTACTTCAAATGCTTCAAATTTCAACCCAGTTTGAGGGGTTAAATTGGGTTTGATATTTGAGTACAAATGTGTATAGTAGTAACAGATATTGGTGGAGAGGAGCGTAGTAATAAATGGGAAATAATTGTGTTCATTCTAAGTTTACAAAGGGTGGGTTCTTCAACTTATTCTTTTGGCGATCTCGATCACCAGATATGATTACAAATAAGAAAAAACCAAAGGGTATAGAACCTTCTACAGACAAACAACCTGAACGTGAGAACTCCATTCAGAATAAACCCCCAGAAATGGTGACGATAGACAGGGAAGAGCCCGATCAGGAACACAAGAAAGACGCTCACATAGTTGAACAGGAGAAAATATCAGTTGATTTGAAGCCTACTGAAGCAATGCAACCTGAAAAGTCTGGTAATACAATCCATGAAAAGGAAATACCAAAAGAGTCTGCAAAACCGAAGAAGCCACCTGTCAAGAGAATGCTTAGTGCAGGACTCCAGGTTGAGTCTGTGTTGAAAACAAAAACTGGTCTTCTAAAGGAGCATTATGATTTGGGAGCTAAACTTGGACATGGCCAATTTGGGACAACATTTCTTTGTGTTGAAAAAGCAACTGGGGAAAAGTATGCATGTAAGTCGATAGCAAAAAGGAAATTATTGACACCTGAAGATGTGGAAGATGTAAGGAGAGAAATTCAGATAATGCATCACTTATCTGGAAATCCTAATGTCATTTCAATAAAAGCGGCGTATGAGGATGGTGTTGCGGTTCATGTTGTGATGGAACTATGTTCAGGAGGCGAGCTCTTCGATAGGATTGTTAAGCAGGGACATTACACTGAGAGACAAGCGGCTGAGCTTGCAAGGACAATAGTTGGTGTCGTAGAAGCCTGCCATGCTCTAGGAGTGTTGCACTTGGACCTTAAGCCTGAGAATTTTCTCTTTGTCAATGAGAAAGAGGATTCACCTCTAAAGATTATAGATTTCGGGTTATCAATGTTTTTCAAGCCAGGTATTTTCCCCACTTTCTCCGAAATCCTCCATATGCTTGCTACATATTTTCGGTTTCTCATGTTTCCTTATTTCCTTGCATTAGTTTAAGTGTTCTAATGCATAAGAAAAAAATCGTTTCTGACAGTTGTTTTAAAACAGCTTCACCTACAAGGTAATTCGTTTTAGAGTTTCACTTCTGCTGCAGTTGCCTTTGTACCGGGAACCCCACTTATCAGGAATTCATGAAACCAGTTCCTATGTTTAATTTTTTGGTCCAAACATTTAGACATTACATTTTTCAAAAGAAGTAGAAGCAGTCCAGTTGATATGGATAGACCAAAGTCCATGTCCAGAAGCCTTGAAAGCTCCAAACTTTCTGATTTGCGAAGTCTATAGCATTGCATATCAGTATATGATAGTTTATATTGAGAACTCGTTCCTGTTTATTACTCTTAGGTTGGCAGAGGATGCTGCTTGCGATTTCATAAAAATTCTATTAATAAAGGGGTTATTATTGTTATTTATATGTTGTTCACCATCATATATGGTAAATATCCTTAACATAAGTTTTTCCATGTAAAATTCTAACTCTCTTGATAAGATATGCTTAAAAGCATGCATCAGTCTTCTTTGTTGATGTACTTTTGGTTTTGAAAATTGCCTAGCTGATTGGGTTATGTTCTTAACCACAGGGCAAATATTCTCTGATATTGTTGGAAGTCCTTATTATGTTGCTCCAGAAGTTCTACAAAAGCGTTATGGTCAAGAAGCTGATATCTGGAGTGCAGGTGTAATAATTTACATTCTTCTCACTGGTGTACCTCCATTTTGGGGTGGTAAGTTGATCTTTCAAGTTTTTGTAGATTTACCATGGTTTCCTGGTAATGTGAAGTACCAAAAACAGCTTCTCATGTTTTTTCATCTCTTTTTGGATAGAAAGTGAGCAGGAAATATTTGACGAGGTTTTACGTGCCAATATTGACTTCACATCAGATCCTTGGCCTAACATCTCTGGAGATGCGAAAGATCTGGTGAAGAAAATGCTTGTTAGGGACCCGAAGCAACGACTTACCGCACATGAAGTTCTATGTGAGTAGCCACTGAATTTCAAGTTTGTATTCCAGCTTATCATATATTATTCTCAGAGATGCTGCTAGCACCATTTTGCCTAGCAGAAGGCAGAACATAGTGAAAGCTTAATGTCGTTTTGGAATTTCTTTGGCCGATTTGAGTCCTCTGATATAATGTCAGTTTAGTTCAACTAGAATTTCAAACATATTTGTCTAACAGAATAAAAAAATCAGAGCAATGAGCATGTGTGTGGTTTAGAATCGGAAACTATAGCTATGCTAGCTGTTCATCTTCTGCAAGTACGTCTTGAAAGCAGGTGAAGGGAAACAATACTCTTTTTAAGCCAATTCAGAGAAAAGGCTGTCTTTCTGTGGAGATGGTTTTGGTTCTACTTCTTCTCCAATTAGATTGTCTATATTTGTCCACATTTGCATTTTTAGTTCCATAACATGACATTGAACTCTCTAAGTTCTGCTTATCGTTCTTATTTTCCCTTATGCAGGCCATCCTTGGGTGAAGATTGACGGTGTGGCTCCGGATAAGCCTCTTGATTCTGCAGTGTTGAGTCGCTTAACTCAGTTTTCTGCCATGAACAAGCTTAAGAAAATGGCTCTCATGGTAATAAACTAATACAGTCTCAATGAGATTTACCGCAAAAGTGTTTGTCCGCACACACTCAAACCATTTTTGAAACTTAATGTTACAGTTAAATTCTATAGCTCCCCACACATGCATGAAAAGTTAATTTAGTTGAAGATTCAACAGGTCTCTTGTGTCTTCTAATCATATATTATTTGTTTCTTACAGGTTATTGCAGAGAGTCTTTCTGAAGAGGAAATTGCAGGCTTGAAAGAGATGTTCAAAATGATTGACACAGATGACAGTGGACATATTACTTTAGATGAACTGAAGGTTGGACTAAAGCAATTTGGGGCTGATCTTAGTGAGACAGAGATACGAGACTTGATGAAGGCGGTAAGTTTTAGACTTGTAGTCTTCCATAATTATTCTGTATTAAATGTCATGCTTCCAATCAAAGATATTAGTAACTCTACTCAATGACAAGGTTACCATATAACCATGAATATCATCATTTAGGCTGAAATACATCCTTTCTCTGTCTGCTTTCTTTTCTATGTATGTGAGCATTGTAAGATGGGAATCAGAAATGTCTTTGAGAACTCACTGTGCATTGTTTAAATTTTTTATCCTTTTTCTTGTGTATTCATTCTAATGGCTTCTGAACTTTCTCTATATTTCTGTAGAATACCCTTTTTGCAACTGTATGTATCTGTCTCTCATGGTTTGATTCTGTTAAATGAGGTCAAGTTTGGAAAAAGTGTGATGTTTGCCTCTCTATAAAAGTATTATTGTCTAGCTATTGTACAAAGAAGGCATTCATAGGGAAAATGGGCATTTCATTTTTCTTGTAGCGGAAAATGGCGTCCTAATAAACTAAATGCAGAAGGTGCCATCAGACAAGCTTTAGATCACCAACCAACAGAGAATTGTTGTGCCATTCACCTTCTTTTCCAACTCCTTTCCAAATTTTATTGCAACAAAATATATTAGTAGCGAAGTCCTTTAGGATCTCGCAATTTTGTAACAGGTTATTCTTGTGTAACCATAATTTGTTGCTTTTTATATCACTGTTAAGTGTACCTCTCCATGAAATTTCAATTGCTTGTTAGTTACATCAAAGTACACTAAGTGCCCCCGTGCAGTCAATTTTCTGTCCCCATTTACTTGTTTGAAGCACGTAAGAAATCTAACGCGCAGTTTGAAGAGGTTACAGTTACAGCATTTGGTTATTCC